CACAAACACACCAAGACATCAACATCCAAAAAAAAACTTGTGAAATTTGATGACGGTAGCCACAGATTTGCATTCAGAGACAATTTTTTGGACTTTGGTGATGTGTGTATGTTTGTGTCTTTCACATACATAAACATACACACACACCAACGTCCAAACAATTGCCTCCTAAGAGGTGAGACAGAGCCAAGGGCAAGAAGAAGTTGGAGCCCTAATTGAAAACTGAAACTGAAAGAACTCGTGAAAAAAAAACTCAATTTATAAAAAAAATTTTATATCCACGTCGGTTATATTACACCTAATGCTGTTTAACAAAAGGAATCGACGTCGGTTCTTGAAACATGAAAGACGTATTAAACAAACGAGGTTAAGACAAACAACGTCAGTCATTAAACTAAAGGCAATGAGGTTTAGACAAACAACGTCGGTTCCAAATAAAAAAACGACGTGGTAACTGTAGGGGTCTTTTTCTTCTTGCAGCTACAGATGGGCCGGGCTGCCGCAAGGAGCAAACTGAAGGAAAAATATCCCCTGTGTCTGAGTTCAAAGACTAGGCCCCAAAATGTTTCGAAAGGGTAGCATAGCCTTAGGAAACACCTTGGTCACCTTCACCAATAGAGAATAATGGCTGCTTACAGATAAATTCTCAATGCTTACAAATAAATCTTAGCTTGGCATAAGAGGCTTGTGGCATGGGAGCAAAGTTGCCATGAGTTTAGCACTAAGGAGAAGATTAAAATGTTCCTAGGGGAAAGATAGGGTATTAAGGCAGGTTTTGCATGGAGGTTTGGTTGAGAGAGAAGGACAAGAGAGAAGAAGACAACTTTAGTACTTCTTCCGGCAGCTTGACGAAATTTCTTTCAAGTGTTAGAATAGCCTGCCAAGAAGGAAACTAAAGAAGAAGGAGATGAACTAAGCACGAAAATTGCTGGTTTTGAAAGTAAGAGAGGAAGTTTGCTCTCGGTTTGTAGATGATCTCGTTGGGGAGAAGAGGCCCCATTTTATAGCCACTAGAAACTATCCTTTCCCAACAAACCCTAATGGTTTCTACCCAATTTGGCTAAGCTCTTCCCTTCCTTTCTCATCTCCTCACTTGAATTTTCCTATCTTGGCTTTTCCTATCTTGGTGAAATTTCCTCTGTCTATTAACACAAAATCAGGAACTTTGGGAGCTCAATGCCCCATTTTCCCGCAACTGTCTCAGTGACAGATTTCCATTCTCATCCATTTTCTTTTATTGCTTTCTTCTCTCTTTTCCATGGCCAAGTCTGATGGGAAAAGGAGTTGGGAAACATATGCTGGTTCGAAGGGGGTTTTTGGCAGCTCGCAGGCTAATATTCTTTGGTTCCTTGAATGTTTCTTGCTTGGAACTTGCTCCCCCCATGTCTGGAACCTCCAGCGGCTTTGTTTAATGAACCTGCAGACCTTCTATACGTGGCTTCTATTTTTCCAGCAAAGGGCTGAGGCTTTTGTGGGCTTATTGTGAAGCTTTGCATGGGCCAAGGCGGTTCATTAAATAAGTGGGCTATTTTGTTAAATATTAGGCTTTTGAGTCAATAGGCTATTTGGGGCTATTTGGGTTATTTGGGCTATTTCCTTTTCTCTTGTGCTCACCCACATGTTTGGGCATAAGAAATGGACTTGAGTCTCGAGGCTCCCAAGCAACCCGAGACTTTCCATTACTCGGCCCATCAATGGGCCTCATGTTGATTTATTACCATCCATACCACCTCGGGCATTTGAGTGGCTTGGGCCAATTTAGGCTTGTAGCATGGTTGGGTGTGAGATAACGATTTTGTGCTTCGCATGACATGTTTAAATTTTATCGTCCTTGGGAAGGACTGTAATGTTTAATTTCGGCATGGGCTTGTAGAGCCGGTATATTTTATCTCAACCCCTAGCATGGTGAATTTATTTAGCGTGGCACGTGAACTACAACTCCCATGTGGCGGGTTTTCGTGTACTCCGCTTTATGCTTTTTCTTAATGTAGTGTCATTTTGAGCTGATAATTTATTCAGGCCCAACAATGGATTTTTTGGGCCTCAACATTAGCCCCCTTAATTATAAGAGCCATGGACAGGTGCTGGAATGGGCCGAATAATTAAACCCAATCCAAAAAAATCAGATTTGTATTTGTAGGGAACCTCTCCTTTTTCTGCGTGCAAAACGACAACTTGTCATGATTGGCCCCAGCTGTTATTTGCAGTTTCCCAACGCCAACCGCCTTATTCCTTTCTTTTTTATTAGTTTTCTTCTTTTCTTCCTCTTTTCTCGTACCAGACCCAACCTTCTTCCAATTTTCTTTTCTTCACTCCCTTCCCCTTCTCCACCAGACTCAGATTGAGTAAGAGAGTGAGATCGGGCATAAGTCATCTGCCTCCAATCGTTGGGAAGAAGCCCAAGCCAAGTTCGACTCCGCCATCCTTCCCTCATTTGAAGGAGTCCGCTCGTCGCTGTTGAAAGAGACCTCCTTGTGCGAATTTTCTTCCAAAATCCCCAATTTCTCTCCTTTTCTTGGTGCATTCAAGGTCTTTCCTCGGGAGATTTAACAAGGTATGCTTTTTCCCTTGTTTTTTTTCTTGAATTTATTCGGGAAATTTGCTAGGTTCCTTTCATCCATGAATGTTGCCCTTTTGTTTTGGCTGTGAAACACCCAACCCTCTCTTGACCTATTTTGTTATTGCAGCAACGTGAGTGCTTACAGCGTGGGTGCTAGCAAAGAAGGATTTGCATCCATATTCTGAGGTTCCTTTTTCTTTGATTTGCTCGAATTGCTCTTCTTTGTATATGAAAAGGCTGAACTTGGCATGATGTGCTTTCTCTTTTGTTTATTTCTGTGCAGGTGCATACCTCTCAGGCATAGATGGGGCAGGTGCTGGAAGCCTTCGACGTTTTCGCTGCTAGAACCTTCAAATCCTCCGGCCTTCTAACTTGGATATTTGGGTTTTCCGCTTTAATCTTTTGGTAAATAGCTCTGCCAATTTGAATATTCTAGGAATAAGCATAGACTGGTGCTTGGCCTAGGTTTACTCCCCTTGTGAATACATGCTTGATTAATTGTAGACTTCATTCTTGGTTGCGAGAAGTAGGAACACATGTCTTGCAATGCTTTACTTTTTGTCTCGAAAGGGAATTTGCTTGTCACGCTTGTTGACCTACTGGATAAGAACTTTGTTCGTCACGAACTTGGGTCCGAAATTGCATATTCGTTTGAACTCCCCCTTTTTTATTTTTCCTTTTTTTAGATCAAGAGCATCTCATAAAGGGCGGAGGATACGCTTCCTTCCTCTCCCCTTGGGACACCTGATACAGCTGCCGACACCTCTTCGCAGCTTCTTGCAGTGCTGCCTCTGACTTCTCCTTGCCTGGGCACACCCGACACAGCCGCCGACACCTCTCCACAGTTTCCAGCAGTGCTACCTCATACTCCTTGCTTGGGCACACCCGACACAGCCGCCGCCACTTCTCCACAGTTTCCAGTAGGGCTACCTCCTACTCCTTCTAGCTTGGCACACTCGACACAGCCGCCGACACTTCTCCACAGTTTCCAGCAGGGCTACCTCATACTCCTCCTTGCTTGGGCACACCCAACATAGCTTCGGGCACCTCTTCACAGATTTTGGCAGTGCTACCTCATGGTGAGATTATTGATGACAGCCACAAGAGCAGTGATGTTCTCACCTCTATGGAGCATTTATCCGAGAAAAACATGTCTTTGCAAGATTGGGAGAATTCCTTCGTGGCATTCAAAGGCTTCTTTCTTTTTGCAGGTTGTCTTTCCTTGGCTTGGTAACCAATTAGCTTGGGCCATGGTTCTGATGCATGGATCTTTAGCATGTGTAGTTTTATCTTGCTTTGACTGTAGTTTTTGTTGTTGACATTTTAACGACTACGTCGTTATGACTTTGTAATTTGGTATTGAACCACTGAAGCTTGTATTAATTTCTAAATGCTTGAGGCATGTTGTAATTTCGCATGTCTTATATATATATATATATATTGCTTGGTTGGCAAAATTTATCTTTGTGAACTCTTTGAAATTTCCTAACAGGTTGGATACCCTTAAAAACAAGGTATATGCTGCCCAAAATTTTGTATAACCACTGGCCTTAGCAGTAGTAAGGCTTGAGCCACTTCCCGTTAATGGGATCCGTCAGCGTGCCTTCTTTGACAGAGACCAAGTGATAATAGCCGTTGCTGTAGACCTCTTTGACTGCGAATGGGCCTTCCCATTGCGGGCCAAACTTGGAAGGTCCTGACACTTGTCTTCTTACATGCTCCACAAATTTTAGCGCGAGGTCTCCTTGTTTGAAGGCTTGAAGCTTGACTGTCCTATTATAAGCTTGGGCTACAGCTTTGTGGTACAACGCTGTCCTCCTTTCGGCTTTTGCTCTTTTTTCATCCAAAACTTCGAAGTCCAGCAGGCGCCAATCCAAGCATGACTTTGTGTCCCATTCCAGGTCATTAACAGCTGATACTCTGGCAGTGGGGATGATAATCTCTACCAGTGAAATGGCATCGGACCCATACACAAGTGAATAAGGCGAGAAACCTGTGGCACTTCTTGGAGAGGTGCGGTAAGCCCATAAAGCATCCGGCAGGTGGACACTCCAACCTCCTTCATACTCATAGACCATTTTGCTTAGGATCCTCAATAAAGTCTTGTTTGTGGCCTCTGCTTGACCATTTCCTTGTGGATAATAGGGCGTGGAGTGACGATGCTTGACACCATAGGTACTAAGCATAGAGTTTACTTGCTTATTGACAAACGGGGTACCATTGTCGGTGATGATCTTGTATGGGATTCCGAATCTGCACACGATGTATTCACGGATGAAATTTGCAACAGCAGCCCCTGTGGCCTTTCGAAGAGGAACCGCCTCAACTCACTTTGTGAAATACTCAGTGGCTGTGACGATCCATATGTAGCTATCGAACGGCGGATGGATAGTCCCGATCAAGTCAAGCCCCCAAGTGTGAAAGGGCCAAGGAGTGCGCATGTCCTGCAGCAACGTAGGAGGCTTGTGACTTAGATTGGCATGGACTTGGCATGTGTGGCACTTCTTCATGAAGTTGTATGCATCATTCTTCATAGTAGGCCAATAATACCCAACATTCGGCAGAGAGAGAAAATATGACGTGATGTGTTAGTAAATATGACGTTTGAAAGAGAAAACCGTCGTTTGATTTTGAAACAAACGTGAGAGAGAGAAAACTGGGCGGTTTTTTATATTTATGAACTTATAATATGACGATGGTTTTATTTAATTACCGTCGTTTTAAGTTAATGACCACGTCATATTAGCACATCCACGTTTCTATAGATTAGTACGACGGTTCTGTTTGTTTGTCGTCGTCTGAACTTTCATTTTATGTTTGTATTCATGAAACCCGATGACGGTTTTTATTTACCGCCTTTTAAAAAAGATATAACGTCAGTATTTTTATAAAACCGACGTTTGTATTGAATTACAACGACGGTTTTGTGTTTCTGTGTTAGGTTTTTTAAATTAAATTTTGAACTTTCTTCATATTCACGCGCACACACTGTTTGTGCCTAATAAATCACAGTCATGGACTGATTGAAGGGACTTCCCTTCGGCCCTGGCACCTATCGTTTCGTCAAGCATTTCGCCTTCCTAAAAACAAAAGAAGAGCTGCAAAGGCAGAATCCTCTCGGCCTAGCGACCACAGTATTGAAGGCCGAGGCCGAAGGCCGTAAAAGACACGGCTTAAAAAAGCTGTGGTTGAATCACCACGTGACCTCAGGGCCCCACGCTCCATTTAATGAAGTAATGCCTCTAACTTCGCAGCAAACCCACTAGTCACAAGAAGCATTTAATGCACAAGGGAAGTAGCTGAAGTCAGGATTTGGTGATGGAAATCAGGGTGGTTAGGCGCAGACATTATCTCAAGTAATCTTACGACTTAAGGTCAGACCACCAACCACCAGACCAGGGCATTAAATGCGTTCCCACGGCCAAGGGGGCAGAACCCACGATCAGGGCGGTGGCCAAGATTTACCGAGATTTAGGGGGGGTCACACCACCATGCTTCTCAACCCCAAACCGCCATGCTTCACGATCCCAAATGCCGATTTGACTACCCACTTGCCCCGGTTAGGCTCCACCGCGCAGGTCTTGTCAGCCTCGAATGTCCCTCCAGGACTCCTATAAATACTAAGCTCAGGACTACATTCAAAGGGTTCAAACACCAAACCAAAAGCCTCCCGCGGAGCAAATTATATTTTCCTGTAATGCACTTTCAATACCTTTATTTGTTTTCTTAGGAGTAGTGGTAGATTGTAAGGAAAATCCATTCATCAATATATCATACGACCCTTGATTTTCAAGGCGCTAAACGGCCTTGTAGCTCAGGCCGTGAACCTGACGGCCGAGATCAGTTCCTCTCTCGGCCACGATCGTTTGATTAGGAGTCGAATGCAAAACAAGTGCAACATTTAAACAATCTTCTACCCGAACCTCATCATCATCTCGATACATGGTAGACCGTGCTGGCACGCCCGCGCACAACCGCACCGCATCCAAAAGAAGGACGTCACGTGTTGATGCACATCCCCTCAGCCGGTGGGACTTGTCAAAAACTTATGGTGGAAACTAGGGCACAGGCAAAACTCAAAAACAAAACAGTCGAAATGACTTCCGAGGCTCCTGAGTCCACCTCACCAATCACTATCACCGACACCGAACACGCGGTCAAAATCTCGGCCAGCAGTCCAATGACGACGGATCGCACGGCCGAGTCCATGGGAGAGAAAGCAGTCGTGGAAGATCTAATGGCAAAGCAAGCCTACAGGATAGAAACATCCTTTATGGCCGCGATGGACAGATTCTCCTCAGAGCTACGGACGCTTTTTCAGGAGATGATGCCGGTGACATCGTCCGCAACGCCTCCCAAAGCCGGACAGCGAGGCCAAGAGCGCGAGAGGTTCGAGCCCTACGGCGAAAGCAGCAGCCTCGGCGTCTTTGGCCGCACCCAAGCGTCAGGCTACGGCCAGCATTCTCAGCAGCCGACAAATAGCTGGGGGAAATCCCAGCCAACATGGGTAAATCCCAGACCGACCTACTTGGCAGAGACGACGTACGGCCCACTCCATGCTTTGGCCGTATCACTGAGGCAAAGCAGCCCCGCACAGTCCACGGTCCAGCAACTTGGCCCAGTCCACACTTTTGCCGTCTAGACCCATCCCGGCCCAAGCAACTCGACCGTTGCTTCGTCACAGCAATACGGTTAGAGCAATCAGACCGTTTCACGATTACATACGTCGTCATTGCCGTCAGGCTCCCATCTTCAGTACGGTTCGGCCGTTCCAACTACAACCCATATGAACCCCGGTCAAACCTACGGCGCATATCTGGTACCGCCCAGCTCGGTCGCAATGGCCGAACCCCCCGTTCAAGTGGCCCAGCAGGTAAGGCCGCAGAACGAGGGCAACAAATTCCATGGCCAGTCGCGGCCCAGCAAGAAGCGCCCCCTCAGGGGATTCGATTCGAAGATGTGTGGCGAATGATCGAGGATGGCCTGGCTCAGAGGCGCCGAGAAGCACCAAGGTATACCAAACCATACCCACCAGAAATTAACCAAACCCCTCTTCCCTAGAACTATCGGTTGCCAGAATTCATTCTATTCTTGGGGGATGGGCAGACCTCCTCCATCAAACACATAGGCCGTTTCACGGCCCAGTGCGGAGAGGCCGATTCAGACGCCCAGAAGCTTTGTTTATTCGTTCACTCTTTGACCGGCGTGGTGTTCTCGTGGTTCATAAACCTTCCGCCGAATTCGGTGCCGTACGAACCCACTAGAGAGGGAATTTGTCAAGATGGCCGAAGATTGGAATTCGAATACCGGAAGAAATTCCAGGGGATTGAATTCCAAGATATGCACGACTTGATCAACAAGGTGGACCAATACGCCTCCTTGTTGAAAGAAGAGGTGCAGAAGAGGACGGCTTCAAAAGGGACTTACTATCGGAATCCCGTAGTCAGCTATGCCGAAGCAGACAACCCCACAGAGGCCGAGAGCGACGAAGTTGTGATGAGCTCAGCCGAGGTCAGCATAGACAAGCCATTCGTCTGAAAAGGACTTGTCAAGGCCGACAATAGCCGCACAAAGATTCCCAACGCCAAGTTCGCAACTCGAGAAACGAAGGCCTACACTTTTCATTTGACTAGGGCCGAAGCTATCTTTGACCTACTGTTAACCGAGAAAAAGGTCAAATTGTCCTTCTGCCATAAAATTCCGAAACCCGAAGATCTCAAAGGAAAGACGTTTTGGAAATACCACAGTTCTTGGTCTCACAATCTTACGTCATCCAGAAGTTGATAGATGAAAAGAAGCTTCAATTCCCGAAAAAGGCGGCCATGCAGGTCGACTCTAAGCCATTCCCTCCGCCTATCATCAACATGGTCAACGCTCAGCTCCAGGCCGAATATAGGGAAGTTTGTCGGCCTGCAGAAGGAAAGCAGCCGTTGGCCGAACCAGAGCCGGTACCGTGCAATCGGTGCAAGTATGAGCTCGGTCAGCTCAGACCGCCAGAAAACAAAAGGAAGGCCATCGAGCCATCTAGACCGACTATGAGGAAATTCGGTGGCCAGTAAGACCGTTGGCGAGCGAGAAGAGTTGTTTTCGACTGACTAAGGGCACAAGGCCCCAGTACCTCGGCAGGCCATAAAGACGGAGCCGCTCCTAGGCCGGTGCAGACTTTGCAACCACCGATCGTACGACCCAGCTGAGAAGGATGCAGAGGCAAGTTCGCAAATTCAGCAGGCTAGGATACAGACGGCCCAGGTCGAGGGGTTAAAACGCCAAAAGAAGATGGCGACTGCAGACGAACCACCATCCGCGCCAATCGTTCCCCCTACAGCGAAGGTCGTCAGCGTCAAGCCTCCAAGGGCGTGGCGCCCTAGGCAAGACGGTTATCCCCGCGGAATGACGGCCGTTTCGATCGAGCTAAAGGCCGCGGCCCCGGAAGGAACGGATGAAGGCATCATCGATGTCTACCACGGAAGGGACCCCCATTTTTAGGCCAATGGTTTGTCCTTTCTCATGGAATTCCACAAGGACCACTCGGCCATCGACCTATACGGCATGACCCTAGAAAACAGTGAAATCATGGGATTAGCTCTCAGAAACGCCAAGGCAGAAAGGCTCCTCATTACCAGCGAATCCGACTCGGCCATTAAGGCCGTATACCAGCCGACCCGAGCGCAC